CAATATAGAATTTTAACATAGGGTTTGTCCTTAGCAGCGTGTGGACATTAATCCACATCTTAATAGCCCTTACTGTGTGGCGTTCATGCACTGTCTGTAGACTCGCTTCCGCCTCTGCCACGGCCGCAGCAACTGTCTAGAAGCAGCCTATAACAGCTTAAGCTCCTATTTTCTGTATTCTGTTCATCGCTCCCATTAAAATCATGCCGCACGCGTGCATCCATACACTCGATGCGTAGTCTACCACTGGTGCTACCGTTGACTTAAAAAGCTGCTGGGCTGTAGCAGAGGAGACCATCTGTAACCGCCTTAGCGCTAGGGCTGCCCTTAGGCCCCTTGCTGCCGCCCTTGCTATGTGCTGTTTATATCTCAGCCCTGCATCTATAATAACGCCTAGGATTTTAGCTTCTGTTGTTAGTTTAACTAGCTGTCCTTTAACACTTACTAGTCTTGCGCTTGTTTTACCTCTATTCCTTATAAAGTGTATTAGGGTAGTCTTGTCCCTCTTAAAGGTTGCCCTGCTTCTTTTCTCCTACCTTGTTGCTCTTTTAATAATGTTTTAGAGTTTTACATAGTTTTCTTTAGCTAAGGGTCCTATTACCTAAGCGTTGTAGTTGTCTATAAAGGCAAATAAACTGCTATAAGCATTAATCTAGTGTTAGACTAGATTAGCGTTAAAGAAGAGGAATAGAATTAGAGAAAGGGGGGATCCCTGTGGGAGCCCTGCCTGGGGCAGCGGTTTCTCCTCGGACGTGTAGCTGTTGACTGTAATAGTTGCTGTATAATTGGAGCAAAAGGCGTCTATCCATTGTACTAGGCCTGGTGGTATCCCTCTGGCACAGAGCCTCTGGGTTAGCCTGTCTTTGCATACTCTGTTGTATGCCCCTTTTACGTTAAAGCTCTATACTTGTCTTTTCTGCCTGCTGTTCTGCTTTTGCCTTATTCCTCTAGTGCGTATATACCCTTTGCAACTGCGTAAGGTCTGCAGTCTACTATCTTTTTGCATACAGCAAGGGCCTAGCTCTTAGGGTTAGCTTGTGGACTGCCTCTATTGCTGCTCCCATCAGCCTATCTGTCTGTTGCTGTACACTGCCCCCTATTAGTTTAGCTTTAAGCGTCTTCTTAACTCTTGTTTGTATTGCTTTCTATAGTGCATTTTTAAATAATAGTCTTGCTTCTGCTTGCTGTTCTAGAGTGTCTACATTAAAGGTTGTTTTAATTACTCTGTGATCTAACCTATGTTCTGTCTTATAGACTTTACAGCATAGTGCTGTACCTGCTAGGTTGTCTAAAGTTAGCATTAAATTAACAGTGCTCTTACTTATTCCTTGCTGCTATGTTTTCATGCCTCTAGGAAGTAGGCTGTGGAGTGAATAGTCTGCTATAAGGTGTATAATAGGGTCTGCTTTGCCTTAGTAAGTGTTTAACACATTATCCCCTCCTTATAATTAGTTGTGTTAGTTGAAATCACCTGCTAGGACTACGTCCACCCGCGTCCTAGTTTAGTCATGTGCGGTTTAGATTAGGGTCTAGATGTAATTTATTGTCTTCTTTAGTGCTTACTTATCTCTTATCTTAACGTAGACTAACACTACTAGGACTGTTTAACTGGGTAGTTGTAGCGTTGCTGCTGTGAGGTCCGGCGACTGTACCAGCAGCTGTTCAGCCTTAATGTCTTTCCGTATCCAGAGCATACTCCGGAAGGGCCACCTCCCGTCCCTACATGCGGTTGGCGTAAATTTGGCCCAGTGGGCGTGTCCAGCTGGTGTTGTGATGATCCTCCCTTCTTTGTTTCTCTACGCATAAGGTTCTTAAATAGCTAATACAGCAAAGTCTTGTAGTTGCTTGTTATTTATTACACTGTGCAGTACCTTATGTCTTTTTCCTGCATTAAGTTAGAATATTTTAAGCGTCCTAGGCATCCTAACTAGGGTATAGCACTTAACAGTTCCTAGAGAAAGATTTATAGGGGCCCCTATAGGGTATGCATTTAGGGACCATCACTTGGCATTTACTGTGGTGGTGTCCTTCGCTAGCGCACCTAGTACAAACCCGCTGCCTTGTGCATGTGAATGCCTTGTGCCCTAGCTGTTAGCATTAGTAGCACTGCAATAGTCTATTTCGCGGTTTAAACAGTCTTGTGTATGCAGATTCTCTGTTAATGTGGAAGTACTGTTCTTATAGCAGCTAGGCTGCATTGCTGCCCTTAGTAACATACACTACTATTAATCTATATGCCTTTCCTGAATCCTTTCTACTTAGCTAGCTGACTTTTGCTACCTGCACCCTGTTTTTAGCCCTAACGGCCTCTAGGGCTCCTGGTTAGATTTGTCCTTCCTCTGACAGCACTGCTAGCTGGTTGGCGTTATCTACCCTGATTAGGAAGAGCTGGTCGCGCAGTATTCTAACTCCCCTAGCTGCTGTCTTGCGGGCTGCCTCTTTAACTGCCTAGAGCTTACTTTTGTCCCTACATATAACTCTGATTTGATTAGTGTTCCTCAGGTCTCTAACCACTGCTGCACATTGCCATTCTGCGCGCTTGTAGTTTGTCTGCATCTCCTCCTTAATGGCTTGTCTAATCTTGCCTAGTTTCGCCTTCTCCCTGTCTACCTTCTTAATCCTAGATGTGTTAATTGTGTAGTAGAGTGTGTCTGTTGTTGTTAAGGGTGCTGTGTTAGTAGAAAGGGTCTGTAGGTTACTAGGCTAGCTGCTTAGGGGCGATTATGCCACGGCAGCGTAAGATGGCGATCTACTAGGCAGCGTATAAGATCTGGCTAGAAGGGTCTCAAATTTGTCTACCATTGCTTTGTTCTCTGCCTTCAGTGCCTCTACCTCTTGGGTGAGTGCCCTTATTGTCTTAATCTAGGTTGCGTGTGTCGCACGTGTCTCACGCGATATCATACCCATGTACTGCACTATTCACTCATTAGGCATAGCTCCTATCTCGTACAGTATATAGTCAGCTCAGAGCTCTATCGAGCTCCTCAGACCTTACAATACACTCATTCCACCTTGTTTGGATCTCGCTCCCTTGTCGAGTCGTTTGCCATATGTCCCCTCCTCAGCTCATGCAAGAGCGTGTTCTCTTTCTATCCGCTCCATTATGGCTACTATCCTGTCTTGGGTCTCTTTGAGTGCTGCGAGCACCACAGCCAATGGGTCTTCCTTCTATCTCGCTCCTGCGCTTCTCTTGGGTATACCTGTTCCTTTGTTATGTCTTGTTCTTAGTCGGCCTTGAGTGCGGGTTGATTGTGGGGATCTAGGGGCCTCTTGGTTGACATTGATCACCTTGTCTGTCCCGCTTCCATCGCTTGAGTTTCCCTGTTGTCTCCTTGTATTCTCCGCCTTGGTCGCCTTGCGCGTCCTGACGCGTGTTCGGGTCAATTGCCGCCCCTGACGCGTGTCCTCCACCTCCGATTCCATCGATTCACGACTCCCCTGGGTCCCGCGCAGTCGTCTCGTCCTCCGGTACTTATCCCCGGTTCTCTAGGAGAGAGGGGGGGGAGAGAGGTAGGGGGGGGGTTTAGGGTTAGGTACCGGTACTTATCTTGCAACCCCCTCAGTCGCCGCAGCTCCGGTCTTCCTGCAGGTCGAATCGTGCAGTCCAGACGCAGGTGGAGTGTGCAGACGGAGGCTGGTACCAAATTCTTTTTCCTTTCTCTCAAAAGTTCCTCAGCTAGCTCCCAAATTCAGGTTTCAATTGCAGCCATGTATGGGATCAATTGCCGACCTAGAATTGATGTGAGCCTAGGAAGCGATGAGAATCCGTGCTTCTAGAACACACCTGCGTCGTTGAACTGGTAAACTTAGTGCTGTCGAAACCAGCCCCGTCGATAGCTAACGTACTGGTAATCCACCACCTGATGCATGCGCTGCGGATTTTCTACCCACCCGCTTTTGAGGCTGTAGAGCTCTGTAGATATTGTATTGTAAGCAGGTGTGATATAGGTGTATTGAGTATAGAACAAGTGGAAGATAAGGACAAAATTTTGTGTGTGTAAGGGGCTGAAAACCTGGTAATCTTTGGTGATACCTGCGGTGCGTATTCAATATGGAGTATAGGTAGCCCGGCACCAATCCGAGGGGCTTCTGGCGGTGAGAAGGGGTTCAGGAACGGAACAGCATTCTTCCAAGGCACCTATAAAGTTTCCCTTACGGAGCTTCTTCTATTCTCTATCGAATTCATCACTGCTATCACTGCAACTCCGGTTCAAGCCTTGCGACCCTTACAACGGCGGGAAAACGTACATGAATTAACATCGTCCTGGCGGGCAATATCTGTATATGAAAAAGATTCTCCTATATTTAGCGATCCGATTGCTGCAATCACAGCCTCAATATCCCCTATTTTGGTGGAGATAGGTGGTGTTGAAGGCGTTGTGTTGATTTATTGATTGATTGATTCTGTCCTACTCGCTCGTTCGTTCGTTTATTCCTACTCGGTTTCAGCCGCGATTCCCGCAGCTATGCCCGGAAGCAAAGGGTTGGCGGACAGCCGACGCTCTGCCGAGTGAATCAGCATCGCCCCACGTCACCATACCAAAGTTATAGCCAGCTGTCCCCTTGCCTTTGCGTAGTCTAGCTTCTATCTACGACTATGTACATTTCGCCTCAAGAAGTGACGTATCAGTCTGTGTTTTTGTTCCTCAATTGTCGTTGCTGTGTGTGTGTGTGCCGTACTCGAAGCCTTGTATTTCGGTACCATTGTGTAAGGTTCGTAGAGGTGCTTTCCCTCATGTGTTGCGACTGCAATACCTTCAGTCTCCCCCTAATGTTCAGCTATCGTTTATGTTCGCTTGCCCTCATGCCCTCAGGGCGAGGATATGTTCTCTGAGTTCTGATGTTCTTTCGTATTGTGATGCCTCCCACTAGGTTCCTATGTGGCCGTGTTTTGTGGTGTGACCTGCCGCCGAACGCAGCGGCAGCGGCATTTCGTCATGACGAAGCTCCACGAGAACGATGCTCCGCTTCGGCGTGCTATCGAGTCTACAGCATGAGAGCTCTCGCGCGAATCTCCTCAGACTTTGTCGGATATGTCGAAGGGGCACCAATTCTTCGACACGGGGTGGAAGCGACAGTGAACGAGGCTGTCTGGTAATCTGCAGTATTGTGTGGCACCGATGGTAGCATGCCGGGTGTCTGTGAAGCGATTTGTGTGAGAGGTGATGCCGTTCCAGTCGAAGGCTCGTCGAAGAGGGACGTCGCAAACTTTGTCGGTTGGCGATGGGCTGACCAGGAAACCCATCAGTGACTGTGGTGTTGTGTGTTGCGACTGTAGAAGAAGTGTTTGGGCTCCGTCGTCACTCTCGTGTTGCTGTTCCGCAGCTCGATGGGCTGTTGCTGCGTTCGACGAACGTGTCATTTTGTGTAGCTTGCTCGCAAATTTTGTCGGTCTGTCCGTGCCGCGGCCGCAACGGTGGCTCTACAGGTACCAAATCAACGCAGAGGGACGCGCGATGGCCTATAGAGTCCGTTGCGGCCACTGGCAGATGTGCTTTGATGCTTTTGTGATGGGCTTTCCAAAAACTGAGTTCTCGCTGTTTGTCGGGTTTCATTCTGTCCTACTCGGTTTCAGCCGCGATTTCTCCGCAGCTAACTATGCCCGGTTCGGCGGGCTTGGCGAACAGCCGACGCGTCCCGGATCATTGCTGACCCATTCCGCCCCACTTTATCCTGCAAAACAGGACCAGCTGTCCCCAGAGGCCTGCCTTCTCTTCCTCAACCACTATCTAAATATGCTGGCGGGCCTATCTAGATAACGGTTCTCATACTAATGTACACTATCTTCTAGGCTTCGTAGAGGCGTTCGCCCCGTCTGTTGCATCCGCTATACCTACAGTCTCCCCCCAGCGCTCGGCTTCATCTACGCGTCTCTGATCCCGACTTGCCTAAGGATCTGCGTCTGTTCCATGTACTCGATGGCTTTGGTAGCTAGTTGTGGCTTGTTGAGGATAGTCCGGAGGTTGTGTCGTCCTAGGAGGCGACCAAATATCCGGTTCCGGAGGCCGTTGTACGTCCTGCAGAACAGGAGGACGTGTCTGTCTTCTGGCTCCGCATTCGCATCGGGAGCTAGTTATATCTGGCACTTTGCGACTGAAGAGGAAGTCTCTCAGTCTGATCTTTTTGATCCTTAACTGTACAAGGAGAGCGCTGTCTCGCTTTCTGAGACCTTCGTGTAGCTTGAGTACTCTTTTTATAGGTGCTGGTGTGTTCCTGAACGTAGCTCAGCCCTTTGTATCTTTCCGCTAGCTTGCTCTCTATGCTATGTCTACTTGCTGTTTGCATCTTCTTCTTAGCGTCGTCTTTAGGAGGATATAGCCTCGGGGGTTCCTCTGCTGTCAGTCCTCTTATGCTGTCTCCTCTCCATCCTGTGGTTTCCTTTGCGGCTATGTCTACGGCCTCGTTACCGGGAATCCCTAGGTGGGCCGGTACCCATCAGATCCGAACTGGTCGTCCTCTATCCTGGAGGTCCTAGATTTAGCGAGCGATCTCCTCTAGAATATAGGCTCCTGTCCGTCCTTCGGCCTTAGTAATAGACTATATAGCGGCCTGGTTTTCTGTGTAGATGGCGACGTTGCGTCTGCTTCTATTCTGTTCTGCGTACTCTTGTGCTACTTACAGTAATAAACTAATCCCATATAGTTCTACTGCGTATACTATTAATGTTGTGGAATGCCCTAGATACGCACTTCGCGTCTGCTCCGTGAACGGGCACACTGCTGCGGCACCGATTCTGTCGTCTATTCCGCTTCCGTCCGTATAGATGTTGAGGTCCTAATCCCTTGCGTCCTCTTTATCATGTCGATTTCGGGCTGTGTCCGCGTCTTTGTCTATGTAGATCACTGGGCCTCGCTGCCAGGGTGGTGTTATGAACGGGGGAATCGGTTCCTGCGTGGTAAGATCCTGCCCCCACTTGTCTCGCGTCTCTGCGTTCGATCGTGTGCGTGGCCTCTGTGGGCTGGAAGCCTACGGTGCTCGCGATGCTTCTGCTGGAGAGGAGTCGAGTGACTGTGTCGGCGTTGTGTTTCCATATCTGCTGCTCGATGGGGAGGAGAAACGCTTCAATGTCGAGTGCGGCCTTTGATGTGGCTTTGAGCGCTCCACAGATGATTCGTGCCGCTCTTACCTGGATGCTCTGTAGGGTGTCAAGTGCCTTTTAGTGTAGGTGTGCTTCGTGCCGTTCTCGTTTGTCTAAATTAAGTAAGCGTACATTATCTGCAGTAGCCCTGTTCCCTTATAGGTTTTCCTTAGATTTATAAGGCCAGCACCTCATTTTGAGTTCCCAAGATTACTTAGGGCATGGACTGTCTTTGTTGCTTTTCGTCTGATCTCTTCTATGTGTGGTTTTCACGTGGGCTTAGTGTCTATCGTTAGCTCTAGGTATTTGCAGGTTGATTGTGGTTTGATCTCGCCCTAGATGGTCTGGATCGAGTGGTTTATATTAATCTTTTTGCATGCTCTCGTGAAGTGTGTCAGCTAGAACTTGTCTGGGGCGAAGATAGACGCATGTGTGCTTGCCCATTGCTGTGCTTATTGTAGAGTTCTGCCCAGGATGTCGCACGTCTTCTCTGTTGTTTCTGCCCATGCCAGGATTGCTATGTCGTCTATGTATCCTGTGGGAAGAACGTTCGCTTCTTGACAGCACATGTCTATGAGGTCGGCATTGTAGAAGAAGGCGTTGTGTTGATCGTACGCGAATGTGCATCAAGTGGGGCTGTACATCAGGCGGTGGATTACGTTATCAATATCGCTCCTGCCGACCAGTTGCTGATCGATTCAACTCACCATCCTCAAACCAGCCGCAACCCTGCGACCATCACGTTCGACCGCGATAAGTACTCGAAACAAATGTCCTCTAATAAAGGCATACGCGACCGTACACTGAACTGTATCGAGTCATTCAACAAGTGTTTAGTGAATCCTACACTTGGCAAGCTCGGCTGGGTCGAGAGATGCCAGGCTGACTTCAATCTCTGGACCTATGGGCTGAAAGCAACTTCGACGGGAAAGTCATCACTCGACTATCGTGTCCGGGAGCGCGAAGACGTGCGCAATGTGATTTGCGATCTCCTCGATGGAATGGCGGAGTCGCTGCACCGTTGTCTAGAGGCGTCGACAGAGCTCGAAGGAGTAGAGGACCTCGAGTTTGACATCAGGACCGTGTTGAAACAGCTTTCTCGCATACATGTCGCGATCCGACGGGCCGGGAATCATTTGCGCCACCAAAGAGCTGATGCTGCGCTGGGAGATGCGCTCGAAACTGAAGATTTCATAGAGTGGAAGGAAGACATGGAGAACCTGATCCTGATGGGCATCGAGAACAAGAATCCAAAACAAGGGCTCGAAGAAGGCCGAAACCCGGGTCATTCTCAGCAGAGGACCTTACGTAACGTTCAAGAACGTCTCATTCGTGCAAATCTGTTACGTCGACATCGAATACAATATGCACGATCAGCTTTGGAGGAAGCCAAACGGAAGGATGCAGAGCGACTGCTCAAGGAGGCCAAGAAGCATGCCATCGAACCCGCACCATCGCAACCGCACGTTGCAACTGTTGTCATCGAACCGGAACGGCTCGAACGTAAGGATCAAGGCCCAGTTGAAGGCCATCCCATCAATAACCCACCATTGAGCGAAAATCAACAAACAGCTACAGATATTCCGTCTAAGTTCAAATTACCACTTGCGAATTCCCGCAAGTCTGGTACGATCATTACGAAGGCGACGCAAACCGGGCGGGAACAGAATTACCCTCGTTGGCACAAAGACTTGGGAGCTTATGGGAATTTTTTGTGCCCGTACTGTGCAGAGCCGCTTTCCAGAGACTACATCAACAATGATATCAGATGGAGGTTCGTGAGACGCATCGACACCTGCATACGGAGTGCTGCGCTAACATCAATTCGTGATAGAGGGCACCTCGCAGGCGATCTGACACCATATGTCTGCATCATGGATGATTGTAAAACGCCAGACTTCATGTTTGTCACTACTGAGGATCTGAACAAACACATTCTTGGGGAACACGGCTGCCATCGTTGGGTATGTAATTACTGTGCAAATGAGGCTGACGAGCTACACCGCAACGACACTTTCATATACGACACTGCTGAAGACTGGGTCAGCCACGTTAAAAATGACCATCTCCCCAACATACCGGTATCACAGCTTGAAGAGCTGTCTCTACTCAGCCAAAGGAGATTTATCCAGTCCATGGAGTGTCCACTCTGCGATGTTGCTGTTTCTACTATACAAACCGAACTAGATGGGCATATAGCAGGTCATCTCCACTCTTTTGCATTAAGAGCGCTTCCTTGGGGACTTTCGCAAGGCTCCCATGGATCTGACACGCCGCGAGCTTCCGCGAGAATAGAATTGGAAAGCTCTTTTGTGTCTTCTAGGTGGGAAAACCTTAGCAACCAATCTGATGTAGAATGGCCGGATCATGACAAGCCGGCGATAGAGAATTGGAGCGACTGGCATGATATGAAAGATGAAGCTGTTATTCGAAAGCATTTTATAGAGAATTGGATGCGGGACATTTCAGACTTCCTCGCATCAGATGAGGAAAAATTTCATCGTGCGGCGCCTGGGGAGGTGCTTCAAGAAGAGTCGACGTACAGGAATCGGAAGATGGCCGAAATCACGAGGATCGCAGATGTACCTGAGAATAACTTCAATATAGATAAGTCGCTGCACGCGGTGCCTCCAGGGAGATCAGAGACCCCGTCAGTCCCTTCCTGCGCCATTCCCTTCCGCCGCGACCCGGACTTCGTCGACCACGGAACGCTGCTCGATCAGATACGCGAGAAATGCGCTGCGCCGGCATCACGGATAGCGCTGGTGGGCCTGGGCGGTGTGGGGTGAGCCAGGACAACCCAAGGCCAGTGCACGTCGCTAACGCCGAGACAGAAAGTCGCAACTCGCCATCGAGCACTGCTATCGAACCGCGGAGGCATCTCCAGAGACGTGGGTGTTCTGGGTCCACGCTAGCAACGCGGCCCGCATTGAACAAGGCTACCGAGACATCGCAGACCAAGTCAGGCTGGCCGGCCGGAACGACCCGCAAGCAGACGTTTTCAAGCTCGTTCATAACTGGCTTTGCAATGAAAAGAACGGCAAGTGGCTGGTAGTCCTCGACAATGCCGATGATGCTGCTGCACTCACTCTGCCAGCAATCAATGACCCGAAGGCAAAGGCGAGCAGCGGAGATAGCGCTTACCCATGGTCTCTCTCGTTGTATCTGCCCCATAGCAAAAACGGCTCGGTGCTGGTGACCAGTCGGACGAAAAGCGCGGCATTGCAGCTAGTGGAGGAGGGCGACATCCTATTCATCGAGCCTATGGACGACGCTAGCAGCCAAGAGCTTTTGCGAACAAAGCTAGGAGAGGAGGTGGACGAGGACCGCACTGCCGAGCTAGCAAGGGCCCTCGAGTTCATGCCACTCGCTCTCGTGCAGGCAGCCGCATACATCCGACAACGAGCACCCAGGTGTTCGGTGCAGCAATACCTAGAGGAGCTCCACAAGAGCGACAGGAAATGGACAGGCCTGCTAGACTACGACGGGGGCCGTCTCCGGAGAGACCTAGAAGCCAAGAACTCTATTCTTATAACGTGGCAAATCTCGTTCGACCATATACTCCAAGCAAGGCGGTCAGCAGCAGATCTGCTGTCGTTAATGAGCTTCTTTGACCGGCAGGGGATTCCTGAGGCGCTTCTTCGCGACCAATATAGGACAGAGAACAGACACGGTGGTGTAGAAGCCATTCATAGAGACAGCGAAGACAGCGACAGCGACAATAACGAATTAGAAGCGAGCGTTGACGACGTGTTTGAAGGTGATATTAACATGCTAAGGAACTACTCGTTTATTTGGGTTACCACCGACGCCAGCACGTTTGATATGCATAGGCTCGTGCAGCTAGCCACGCGGAAGTGGTTAGAAGGGATGGGCCAACTGGAAACATGGAAGCAGCAGTACATCAACAATCTTTGCGCAGCATTTCCAACAGGGAAGCACGAGAACTGGGTCCAGTGTCAGGCGCTCTTTCCGCACGCCAAGTCAGCGCTATTACAGCCGCCTAAGTCTGAGGAATCGCTCCGACAGTGGGCTCTGTTGTTGTACAATGCAGCATGGTATGCGTGGCAGAAAGGAAATGTGGGCGATGCAGAGAAACTGTCAGTAAGATCAATGAAAGTTAGGAAAAAGCTTCTTGGGAAAGAGCATACAGATACGTTAAGCAGTACAGCGATGGCAGGGTTAGCAGCCAAGCTTGCAGGACGGTGGAAGGAGGCCGAAGAGCTGGAGGTGCAAGTGATGGAGACGAGAAAGAGGGTGCTTGGGGAGGAGCATCC